AAAAAAAAAAAGTTTATGTCGTAAAACCCCACTAAAAAGATCGTAAAGGCTGGGACATGTAACCCTAGATAATGAGCCAGGGGGGAAGATCTTTGATAGCATACATGTAAACATGAGTTATTAGAAAGCACAGGCTAAGAAAGGTCAGAGAAAAGAGTATTAGGGGCAGAAACAATTGCAAATGCTCTCAGTGGAAACTGGCTTGATGCTTTGAGGACTAGATGGGAACAAGGGGATGGTAGTAGGAGTGCAGTGCAGTGAGTTACTTGGTATGGCTTTTCTAGCCGTAGTCTTTGTAACTCCCACCAGATTACTGGGTGGGACCATGCAAATAAGGTGTGTAGAACTCTGATGCTGGGATTGGTTAGTTTTGTCACATTGCTGGGCTTAAAATGAGCTCTCTTAGAGGCAGAAGGGAGATCCCACTGCCATCAAGAGAGAAGAGCTGAAGTTGAAGTAGAGTGTGTCCTTGGACCTGAGATCCCTGCACTGGACCTCCTTGGCAGAGATGCCCAGCAAGGAGAGAGACACTTGGAGGAGAGAGGCACCTGGCAGAGAGACGGTCATAGTGGAACCAATAGGCATGAGAGAGAGTGGTGGGGTTACCTGGTCTACGGAACAAGAAAGGCAGAAGCCAGGCCAAGAGGCTTAGGGCCAGAGAGGAGTGCCTGAGGTCATAGCAGAGGGGAGACATTCCTGATCAAAGAATTGTATCCTGAGCATGTCCTGCACCTGAATTGTAGCCTCTTACTTCCCTAATAAACCCCATAATCGTAAGTATTGTCTGTACGTTCTGTGTGGCCATTGCAATGAATTATTGAACCTGGCAGAGAAGGAGTGAGTGCTGTGGGAGGGATGGCTGGTGTCAGAATTGGCAAAAGGCTGGAGGGTGGTGGCACATCTGGCCTTATAGGAATAAGCCTTGGGCTGCTGATGGTGATACTGTCTTCCTCTTGTGAAGTTAGAGGTGAGAAGATGCTGTCTCCATGTGCTTTTTGGAATCGGTAAGAAAAGGGTGAAGTGGCTAGATCTGGAGCCTGGAAGGGCATGACAAGAAACTTGGGTTTAATTCTAAGTGTAATGGACTACCATCAGAGTGTCACCAGGGTCCTGGTGGAGGAAAGAGGAAGTTAACATGTGAGAAGGCACAGATCACCTCAATACGTGAATAAACCACATAATATCAGCAACAGTTAAACACACATCCTCAAAGGTTTTCTAGCAGAAACAAGGAGACCATTTGTCAGAAATATAGTGTGAGAGGGTCCTTCATTGGATAGGGGTTGAACTTCATAACTTCTAAAGTTCCTTTCCTAATTTAAGATCTGATAGGGTCATTTACAAATCTAAGTCATGGGAAGATTGGAACCAATCCTCTTAGAAGTGATATCCTGGCCACCACTATCACCTCCCACGAATCCAACTTCCTAACTATGATAGTTGGAGCTGTGTGTCAACTTGGCTGGACCACAATTCTGTGTGGTTTAAGCAGTTGTGACATGGTTATTCCCTTGATGGGATTAGATGTATATGTTTTGAGCAGCCAATCTGTTGAAAGGGAGTTTCCCTAGGGGTGTGGCCTGCTTCCAGTATATTTATGGACATCCTGGGAAAAGAGACTTTTCTGTGGATCAGGATTCTGTTGTGCTGCGTACAACTGTCCATGAAGGAACAATCCACCATTCGACCTGGAGATCTTGGCTTCGTCATTCGTTGGAGTCAACAGTCAGTATACTGCCTGCTTACCTTGAGCTCATCAGTCCCTGCAGCTGCATGAGTCTGGAAAAGCCTCCAGCTTGATGTTTGATCCAAGAACTTTGAACTTGGAAGCTTCTATAAGTGTGTGAGCTATTTTCCTAAGATAAATTTCTCTTTCTCTCTCTCTGTAAACTTTACTGGTTTTGTTTCTCTAGAGAACCCAATCTAACACACTAATCTAACTTCTGCCTCTCCCACGTTGTGATCTCTTTCTCTCTTACAAAAAGCTTTATTGAAGTTAAAATACGTAAAAGTGCTCATGTCAAAAGTGTGAAGTTTTATTAATTTTTACAGAATTAATTTGACCAGAACCGAGATCAAAAATAGAACACAGCTACAACACAGGAAGTGCATCTACTGCCCCCTCCTAGTCACTGTTTCCACCAAAGATCATCATCATGATGACTCAGAACAGCATAGATTATTCAACTGCTTTTCACCTTTATGGAGGGAAAAAAAAACAACCCACAATTCTTCAATACATATTTGTTGTCAGACATTTCTCTCTCATTATAATGTTGCTGAGATTCTTCCATTTTGTTGCATGTAACAATAATTTGCTCTTTTTCATTACTTCATATAAATCTATTCTATGAATAGACCACAATTTATTTATGTCATTTATTGTTGTTGGGCATTAAGGTTATTTTTACTTCGGATCTGCTATGAATAGTAGAGCATAAGCTTTTAAAAATGATGAATCTAAAAATGCAAAGTTTAATTCTAATGATCCATGCTCATCTCCTATACCTCTTCTGTCTATTCAGGCTTCCTCAAAACTTCTTTATCTACAAGTGTTTGTTAACCTGTCATGTTCCTTGAATTAGTAGTACAGAGCCTTGTGTCTGAAGATTAGGCAGAATAAATGATCTGACTCCAAAAATCTGTATAATATTTTACTGTAATAAGTCCAGAAGTCACAATTTTCAGGGGTACTACTAGATGATATTGGACTAGGGAATATTTAGGGCCTTTGAAAGTTCAGAGCATCATGAGTGTACCCTTAGTACCCTCATGGGTGACATGCTTGGGAGATAGCAATGGTGTGTTGCTTGTTCCAGAAGGAGCTTTTCCAGGAAATGGGGAGTCCCATACTTTTCCATCCCCCAAGAAATGTCAACCTATGTCTTTACCATTATTATATTATGCGTTTACAAAAATCACTTGTTAAAGCCATTTAATCAGTATGAGCATCCAGTTACAACTGTAATTTCTTAGAACGATGACCACTCATCACATACATTGCAGCCATTGAAATGATTACCAGTCTGAAGGTGTTCTTAATGATTCAGCTTATAAGGCCTGAGTGGTTCAGAACAGGGTCAAGATCTGTGGTGCACTGAATTACTTGATATGGCTCTTTTCACCATGATCTTTGTGTGACTCCCACCATCTGATTGGGTGGAACAATGCAAATGGAAGGTGCTTATGCCCCCCCCCAAGGGATTGGATAGCTTTTCAATAATGTAAATAAGGTACATGGCACCCTTGTGTGGGTGGGGCCAAGGAAATAGGTGTATGGAACTCTAATGTGGGGATTAGTCAGTTTTGCCATTTTGCTAGGCTTAAAATGAGCTCTCCCAGAGGCAGAAAAGGGATATCTGACTACTATAAAGACAGAGAAGAGCCAGGAGTGTAGTGTGTCCTTGGGCCAGAGATCCCTGCACTGAGAGGACGGCAGAGAGATGGCAGAGGTAGCAGAACTGAGAGATGGGCATGAGACAGAGCAGTGGCCTTATTGGCTCATGGAGCAAAAAAGCTGAGTGCCTTTGGGCAAGAGGCTTGCTGGTGGAGTGAGGTGCACCTAGGAGCCCTACTGGCAGAGCTAAAGAAGGTTTATAACACTTGCCTGAGCAGAGCAGAAGCCAGGCTGAGAGGCCAAGAGTGAAAGAGAGGCACACCTACGGGCAAGGCAGAGGGAGGCTGTCCTGGTTGAAGAATTGTATCCTGAGTGTTTCTGAACTTGAATTGTAACCTGTTGCTTAACTAATAAACCCCACCATGAGTATTGTCTGTGAGTTTTGTGTGGCCTTTGCAACGAATTATTGAACTCAGCAGAGAAGTAGTGAGTACCATGAGAGGGATGGTTGATATCAGAATTGGTAAAAAGGTTGGAGGGTGGTGGCATGGCTGACTTTCAGGAATCAGCCTTTGGCTGATGCTACTGATGGTGATTCTTAGTCCCTCTCATGAAGTTAAGGGAGATCAGAGGACGCCACTCCCGTGGACCTCTTGCAAGGTCCAAAACCTTATTTCACATATTTGTGCTTTCAAACGTGTGGTACTTTATGCCTTAAAACCCCTTTCCGTACCTGCAACAAACTAACTTGTACTCTAAACCTCATGTTCTGGAATCTACCCTGGAGATCTTTTCCTTAAATTTCTGAATGTGTTTTACATGTCCTTTCTTCACATATAATGTGGTATGTTGTGTGCTTCATACAGCATGCCCCATTTTAATTTCTAGTTGATGTATCAAGTACTCTTGTTAGGTTCCAGCTCCCTGGAGATGGAGCTTAGTACCTACTACAGTGAAAAACACATGGTTAGAGCTCAGTGAAGATTTGTTAAACTGATTGGTGGATGTTATTAATTGATGAACACCCCAGACGAAATGGAAGTAACACTCACCTATCTGAGAAATGGCCATAAATGAGTCCTCCCAGCAGTCCCCCAACCATGAACACAAACTGAGCCACTGATTTGAACGACTGAAATTCACATACCAGGTCCCACTGGAAAAGAAGGAAAGCAGCAAAGCAGAGCTTAATAGGAGATTAAAACCCATCAGTGGAAACTAACAATGAACTCCTACACGTGAATAGGAGGTTCTCTGTTACATTGGCCTTGACTTGTATCTAGTTCCATTGCCAGGTAGTCTCCCCTGGTAGCCTACACTCTAAATTTACTGAATTTATTTCAGTCCTTCAAATGCAGCTGCTATCTCCCATTCATAACATTCCAACAATCTGTATCCATATGTCTAGATATCCTTATCCATTCTTGTTAGACCACCACTACATTTATTGCACTGTCTTACATAACATCCTCAATGTCTCTTTCTCAAATATAACTTTCTTTAGGAAACCTTCCCTGACTTGGTAGTTAACATTAGTGTCATGCCTGGGTCTTCTTTTCAAATCCTTGATCACACACTGAATTACTCAAGGAGCTTTTAAAAATTCTGATGTTTAGACCCTATGCCTAAAGATTTTTATTTAATTGGCCTTTGGAGTGTAGTTTGGATGTCAGTTTACAATCAAGGTGGAGAATCACTAACCAAGCATAGCATTTGCCATACAGCATTTCAATTACATTTTCTGAAAAACATTACGTCTTTCTTACTAGATTTAAATATTTATGATATCAGGGTTCATGTTTATATGTTCAATTCATTGTCCTCAAAATCAATAACTGATATAGAGTAAATAAGAAATTAATATCTGCTGAAAGAATGAAGACAGAGCTAACTACAGTACTCACCTAGGGAATAAATGCTTGACACATGATCAGTCTTCATGTTAACTCCAAGCACCCCAATCCAATAAGCAAAAAATATGAATGGGGCCCTTACCTCAGTCACAATAGTGGAAGGAAATGTACTTCGATCATATACCCAGCCATCCATACAGGGCTCCGTGTTCATTTCACTCATGTTGGGAAAGGTCCCATTCAGGTTAAGGAGCTGCCACTGGGGGTGGAGGAAACGGCGACACTTCTCTGGTCTCATGTTTGAGTCCAGTGGGATGGAGATTCTCAAGAGGGCATCAGGGCTGAGGATCACAGTGTCATTTGCAGATAGAGTGTCATTGTCGAGGATGTGGACCCAGCAGCGATGATCAGGGATGACAGCAATGAAGTTTTCCAAAAGAACTTGAGGGTACATTACTGCTATAGAGACAAGAAAGAAAACCATCTCACGAATCTGGAATCTCCCTACACCAACTTGATCCAGGAGCTCCTCAAAGGCCATCGAGGCTGGATGAGTAGATCCCCCAAGAAAGGAACAAAGTCTTTATGAGATAAGTTCAAGGGGGAAAATATTGCCTGTTATTAAGTCAATGTTCACCTTGATGCTATTTTCTCCTCAAAGGCTCTCACCTCACCACCATGAAAGGGCATTAAAAAGAGTTTTCCCAAGTCCTTCTGGGATCAGGCAGGCAGACAGCTTCAATAAAGACACAGACATAAACATCTGGAAAGCAGACTTCCAAATGTACACTACTAAACCTGCTTAAAGGACTTCCACGTAAATGATCCTGATCTTATAGCCTTTTAAGAAGTCACCGATGAACTTTTAGGCAGACATACTCTCCACACAAATCAAAATACACCTGTTCAATGATCTGTCATTCTCTTCAGAAAAGGGAAGTTTGGAGACTCAAAGGTGAAGTGCTTTGTGATTTTCCTGTGTAAAAAACAGATAGCAGGGCTTTTATTAGTTAGGATAGAATTTTGCTTAGAAGAGTTAATGAAATCCTGAGTTAAAGCAAAGTGGAATGTTGAGTATAAACACTAACTTTTGGTAAATCAATGTTTACCACACTTCTGGTGATTTTTTTTTTTTTTTTTTTGTGATTTGGGTGAAGATTTACAGAGCAAATTCACTTTCCATACAGCAGTTCACATATACTTTGTCTCATGTCATTGACCACAGTTTACCACAATA